AAGGACTGGGTTAAGTTCTAAATGTTTTGCGTATTTCAATTGGTCTTGGTTTGGAGATAAAAGTTTTGAAATTTGTTATGTATGATGTCAAACACTGCTTTTTAGTTCCTAGAAAGAAAGACAAAAAGCTATTTATTGGGTTGTGAAAAGACGATTTTTTTTTTTACCTCATTCTTAGTTGTTGGTGTGTATGTACTGTATTATATATAAGCATCATTCAAACTGGATGAAAACTTAAATAGGTCCCAAGTAGTTTATTAGATTCATTTATAAGTGACCATCATTAATTTTAGTTATATTACAAAATAAATTCTTCTTTGCTTCTCTGATCGCTTACCATCTAGTTAGCAAAGCTGGCCTAATGGAATATGAACAGTCAGAAGGTGCGCTTGAAGAGCTATCTACTGTCCCCAGCCCTTGTCATTTAAATAGCTTGTGCTAGTGGCTCTGATGGCCACATATGTGGACTGAAAGACTGCAGATGGTTGTAAAGATGTAAAATCTCCAGCAGTTATTGAACGTCGGAGTTAGTCAAGATGCTGGCCACATGTGGTTAGTGTGCCCCATGTGGGGGACGATGCTGGTCCCACGGGGCCCCACGTAGTCTACTTGATTGTCTGGTTTCCCCCTTCCTGCAGTTTAAATGCTCCCCCCCCCCTTTTTTTTTTTTTTTTAAGAGCAGGAGTTCTGTCAGCTGTGGATTATAAGACTCTATGACCAAGTGGTTTTGAGAAGAAAAAACCAAAGCATACTTGTGTTTCTTTTCTAGGTTCCAGGGAAGATTGGTAACTAGTACAATTAGATCGCCTAATTAGAGTTGCTTTGTAGTCAGAGCCTTACGTCTTTTATTCAGTAGCCTTTTCTGCTTCAGCAGATTCCTGGTTACTCACAGGTGAAGGTCAGAGCTAATTTTAGATCATTCCTGGAATGCTCAACTTCTGCTTGATTTAATTATTTCTGTAAAATAATGCTCATTTAAATATATGATTGTAAACACTGTGATTCTAGGCCTTGCGTTGGCCTTCTGATGAAAAACAGAATCCGTGTGTGACTGATAGAAGTACAGTTATGAGGCAGAGGGAAATGAATGTGTTTTTCCTAGCCAGGGTGGAGTGCAACCACCACCATGTGGAAGTAGGAAATCCAGTTCCATGTGATGAAGAAATGCCTGTGGCATGCAGGGCAGATGGGGTGTGAAATAGCGTCAGGAAAAGAGGTACCCAGGGACCTTGGTTTTAAAATGCAATTTCAAAAGGAATGCAAGCAAACTTCTGGATTTTAGACAGCATGGCATTCTGGGGAAAGAAAAGACTTCAATTGGTCTGGCCTTTCTTCCTTTAATCAAAAAGGCAAGACGGAATCATCCAGCAGCTGCTGTGCTCTTGTGTTTTTCTCACTGCCATCAACAACCAAAGATTGCTTCATGCATGTGACAACATTTTCTTTTTCGAAATCAGAGTTTTAAATTTATCTGGCCAGAAAGTGTTCGGGTCATCATTTTCCTCCATGAAGCTTAGTTAGGGAGCTGGTAAGGGAACCTTCTAAGGAACATTCAGTCTGAGATTTTGTCAAATGGTTCTCAGCTGAACTAACCAAGCTTGCATCAGGCAGGAGCAAGGATTTTGAGATACAATTGGGAAGAAATCTGGACCCACCAGCCCCCATTGACTTTGTGCCTAGGCTTGGCTTTGATCCTCGCAGGTGTAACCTGAAGATGAGGTGGAGATCAGTTGACTGAGTTGATAGATTCTATTACCAGTTTATTCCCATACAGCTTCTGGTTACCCTCAGAAGCCAACTTTACGTCTTTGTGGAAACATTAACTGCCTCACCTTCTTCTAATTTCAAACCATCACTATTCTTTTCTTCATTCTTGACCCTCCTTGCCAAAGCTCCTTCCCCCATGTTCTTTCTTTCAGACCTTCTCCGTCTTCCTGTTTCCTCCCTCCTGGTTTTCATCCTGCTTCTAAAATTAGCTCTGAGCTTCATTCTTGCCACTCATTTTGTTCTGCCTGTGTACTTACTCTTTTCTTGAAAAAAAAAAAAAATCGCATCTTTTCTCCTCTGCGTCTCTGCCATTTTACTATTCCATCTGTTTTCTTCATCACCCACTAAAACTCTTCCATTAAAGAAAATTTAAATTCTGGTTTGTCAATCCAGTGGTTTGGGTTTTTCCCCCCTTCATTCATGGCCATCTTCCTTAGTCCCTCTGTGGCCTTAAACTTTTAAAATGTCCCTTCTTCTATGACTTTCTTATAATTTTCTTGGGTTTCTTCCTGTTCCTTTGACAAATACTTTTGCTGAGCTTATCTTTTCAAAAATCCAGTTTTCATTTCAGTGTTGACAATTTACAAGTTATGTTTCTAAACCCAACCTTTTCTGATTTTTAAAAAAATCTCTCATAGTATTGCTTCTAGGCCTAACTCACGTGCAGTAAATTTCTTTTTTCTCACCTTAAGTTGAACTCATTCATGGAAGAGAAAGATGATCACTCCCTGGCTGGTGTGGTTCAGTTGGTTGATCACTGAACCATGCACCACAGGGTCTTGGGTTCAATTTCAAGTTAGGGCATATACCCAGGTTGCAAGTTTGATCCTGGTCAATGTGGGAGGCAGCCGATTGATGTTTCTCTCTTACTTCTAGGTTTCTTTCTCTCTCCCTCTCCATTCTGCTCTCTCTAAAAATCAATTTAAAAAAGAGAGGAAAATGATTGCTTACTTCATGTTTCAACTGTGGTCACCATTTCATCTGTACAGGCCAGTCTAGCTCTGACTTTTCTGCATATTGCATAGATGACAGAAGTGGGAGATTTAAACTGTTTGAATCCAGCCTGCTTTGAGGCATTCTCCATCACCCTTTCCTTCTCATCACCACCTTTGAAAATTGTATAGCCATTTCACCTGAGAAGAAGAGGGCTGTTGAAATACTATCGTATCTGTGTGTCCTTTTGTTTCTCTGGTAGTGCGGGGAAGAGGAAGAGCAGACAGGGCGACTAGGAGAAGATGTCAACGTGTCTGAATGAAAGAAGTAGTGCCTTCTGCTTGGTAGCAATGTCACTGCGGTAGGACTAGAACAGGGAGCATGTGCTACAGCAGCATCCTGCTCATCTGCTCTCATTGGAGTGGCATTCCAAATGATGGAGGTTTCAGCCTGATGAAAGGAATTTAAATTATTATATATCACTTTGGATAGCGATTTTTAAAATAAGCGTTTACTCATAATTGTTTTTGATATTTTATTTGATTTTGATAATTGATACAAATCATTATTGTAGAAAACTGCAGAACACATGTTGAACAAAAGTAAAAGCACTCATGACACCACTTTGTTGAAATATCCTTTTAACGTTTCCGTGTTTTTTTATAGCCTTCCTTTCCTCTCCCCCCCCCCCCCCCATTCCTTGTATTTTAACAAAATTGCAGTGGTGGTATGTATAAAGTTTTCTTTTTTTATATATATATTTTATTGATTTCTTACAGAGAGGAAGGGAGAGAGACAGAGAGCCAGAAACATCAATGAGAAAGAAACATTTACCAGCTGCCTCTTGCACACCCCCTACTGGGAATGTGCCCGCAACCAATGTACATGCCCTTGACCGGAATCGAACCTGGAACCTTTCAGCAGACCGATGCTCTACCACTGAGCCAAACCGGCCTCGGCTGTATAAAGTTTTCTATCCTGGTTATTTCATGTATTAATTATATCATGAACATCTTTCCCTGCCCTTACCTGTATTTTAATAACTACATAATTCTCTTCAGGGCTATACCATCGTTTATTTAGAACCGTCAACTTTTAGGTTATTTATATCTTTTAGGTTATTTATATAAAACAACTTTCATAATAGGTATCTTTCTGCATAATATTTATCTGCATCTCTGACTATTTCCTTCATGTAAATTCCTGGAAATGTGATTATTAAAACATACCTAGCATACCTCTAGAAGGAAGGGCCATTTGGCAGTTTATGATGTCACTGGATCCTCAGTTTAGCTCCACAGATAATGAAGAGGGGAGGGAACATAGAGCTTCTAATAGGGAGTAAATGTGATCTGTGATTTGGTGACTTGAGTGATCCAGAGCTCATGCTGGGTCCTGGTCTGCTTTCTAGTTGGTCCCATTGTCCGAGGGAAGAGGATGACGTTACCAGTAGACCGTATGTGTAATAGCTGTAGGTGCCACATGCTTAATGATGTAAGGGCTTTGTTGCGTTTTGTATGTCTGAAGATGAGAAGGACTAGCACTGCCTTTGTAGTAGCTTATCAGTGGAATAATAGCAATTATTGCTACCTATCGTACTTTCTATTGCTATTATGAAATTCCAGTTTTTCTCTTAATGTTCCAATGTGCATTTCGCCTTTCAGATTCAGCCTTCCTAAAAGTTTTTAATCTGTGCTAGCTAAATTATATTTAATTTTCTTTTTTAAGTTCATAGTTGCCAGGGGCTGGGGAGCAGAGGGTGAGACGGGTATGGCTATAAAAGGGAAACTTGAGGGATTGTTCTGGTTTTGGAACTGTTCTGGACCTTAACTGTGGCGCCTACATGAGCCTGCACGTGTGATAACGCTGCACAGAACCAAATAAACGACCTGGGAAATGAACACCAAGAACACCAGGGAGATTTGAGTAGGATGGTAGATGGTTTCGGTGTTGATGCCCTGGTTGTGATGTTATGCGGTAGTTTTGTAAGATGTTACGATTGGGGGAAACTGGCTAAACGGATACATGGGATCTTGCTGTATTAATTTTTATAATTGCCTGTGAATCTACAATGATCTCAGTAAAAATGTCAATTAAAATAGGTTTGCCAGTTCTGAAATTGGATGATTTTCAATAATGTGGCATTTTTACTCAGTGATAACTTTGAAATCAGCTTGATATTCACAAGTACATGTCCATTTTTTCTCAATAAGTTTGTCTACTGTGAACAGAATGGACAATTGCTTCTTAATATTTTCCTATAACTAAGTTTCTTAAGGTGTGACATGATTTTCTTTCAGCCATGAAGACTTTGAATTTATTTCGGGAACACGGATGCGCAAGCTTGCCCGAGATGGCCAGAAGCCTCCTGAGGGTTTCATGGCTCCCAAGGCCTGGACTGTGCTGGTGGAATACTACAAATCCCTGGAGAAAGCGTGACACTTCACTGAGTAACCAGAAGGGACCACATAGTTAGTGTTGGCATTTCTTTGTGGTGGTGTCTGTCTGGACGCCCTTTCTAAAACCAGACCATTGTCCTTAACTCGCATCAGCTTTGGTCTGCCTTATGAGCTCTGTTTGAACTAGTGTAATACAGTGCTGATTTTAATGTATCTTTTCCACTTATTATAGTTAATATTCCTATAATACAATTTTAAAATCTTGTCTTTTTATATTATATTTATGCTTCTGTCTCATGATTTTTTTTCCAAGCTGTTATACTAATTGTAACCAATAATATACACATTGAATCTCATTTTCATCCCTTGGAAAAGGAAAGAAAACCCACTAAACAATAAACGTGGCTAGACCTCCTTCTGGAAATTTTACAAGACATCTGTAGCAATTAGATTTTTTTCCACATTGAAAATATAAACTGCTTTTTTTATTCCTTCCTTCCAATCAGCTATTGATTTATAATCTGTTATAATCTAAAATATTCCTGTGATATGTATTAGCCCTGAATGAACTTTCTTTATTCAATAAAATTAAACCTTTTGACTTTATTTGTGTGATATTTTTAATTTTTATTTATTTCAGAGAGGAAGAGAGAGGGAGATAGAAGCATCAGTGATGAGAGAGAATCATCAATCGGCTGCCTCTTGTACTCCCTCCACTGGGGATCAAGCCCACAACCTGGGCATGTGCCCAGACCAGGAATCGAATTCTGTGACCTCTGGTTCATAGGTCAGTGCTCAACCACTGAGCCACAAGGGCTGAACTTGTGTGATACTTTTAGTTTTGTTTACACATATGCTTTCCATTTTGTGAAGTTTCTGATGGAGGAGAGAAGATAAAAGTATATTTTATTACTGGAATCTAATAATTATTTTCTAACGTATTCCATAGTGAATTTGTAGGTGGGAAAATAAGAATGTATTCTCAGCCTTTTTAAAAACTGAACATGTTTCCCCAATATTCTTAAAGCACCTCAGAGTGTGGTTCCAGTAGTAGAGAATGATACAGGGAGTAGTAGGATGTCAATTAGTCCCTTTTTTGGGGAGAGAGAAGGCAACACACTAAGTTTGCTTTTGTAAAATATCCTCAAGTTGAATATTTATGTGAAGATGCTTTTTTAGGAGCTGGATATGCACTTTATGTTGAGATTACAGCTTTTTTGATTTTTCAATCATGCTTTGTATTGTAAAATAGTCTTGCATGGTTTGGCCTTAAAAATTCATCATTTTAAAGAGATGGAGATGATACATGGATATAGTGTATTGTCATTAAGGTGGAAGGGTATAAGATATTCAGAAAGGAAATAGAAGGAAAAGTATTTTTTAAAAAAGGTAAAAATGGTTGGATAATGGAACCAATTAGTGAGAAAACTCGTAAATAAAAAAGAAGTGGGAATTATGAGTAGATATTTTCTCATGGATAGATATATATTCACTGTGGAAAGTATTAGCAGGTGATTGAGAGGACACATGGATGGATATTTGATGGGAAAAATTAGACATGTTAGTTTATTACTTTCTTGACGCCACATTATCTAATTGTCTTTATTTGGGGATAACTCCTGTATATAAGTCCACAAAGGTTGAAGGGCACCATAGACTCCCCCTTGGCACCTTGACTCAGCTAATTTCAGAAACTCCCACCTGAAATGTTGAACATATAGAAAGTGATGCAGAGATATAGAGACAGAATAAATCATGGTTTCATGGTGGCAGTGGTAGAGTCAAGATCCTGGGGTCAGTGAGTGTCCAGTGGAGGTGGCACCCATGGCAATTGGGTCTCCTATGCAGAAGAAGTAATGTATCTAGAATATTCCAGTGTCATGATATTGGCTCATTCCTCTGCCATCAACCTCCTTTCATTCTTGAGTATTTTCTAAGCCTTATTCTGTTACATATTCCATCAGATCTGTAAGGTACCCACCAACCTTCCCATTAATTCCATTGTAATCTAAATTATCGGGAGTTTCTATTGTTTGCTATCAAATACCCTGATCCTAATAGGTAGGATGTGGAAAAAAACAACAACTGTATTTCACAAAAAGTATCATGCCTCTGCTAAATTTCAAGATGATTTTTTCAGTCAGCAGCATTAAATGTTTAAAATGTAGAAAATAAACACTTTCAAAAACCTGGCACTCAGAAAATTTAGCATCCGTTCGAAACTATGAAAATGTACTCATGAAATCAAGATTAACAGCATTCGGGTGAGAATTGGTCTAAAAAGTAACTCTGTGTTCCATTGTGTAATTGTCCTCCAACCTATCAGAGAGAGAAGTGATGGAAACATGATTTTAGACCCCTGTGCCCTTGGGGTTGGCCACCTAATTGGTTGTGTGTTCCAGAGAGATGGGGAAGCAAATGCAAGCACCAGTGACTTCCACCAGCCCACAGGTCAGCATGCGTGTCTTTACTCTGCAAATCTGATGTGCAGAAATAGTTTTTCCTCTTCCCAGTTCATAAAAATGAGCCCAAGCTAATCTTTAAAACGTTCAACCCTCACACCAACCCTGGCAAGTGTGGTTGGAAATCTCCATGCCATTGTAATCTATCCATCAGCTGGAAAAGTGGATGGAAAATAATAATATTGTTTTTGAAGGAAGGAAGAAAAGAAGAAAGTGTAATCGTCTTGGCAGAAATATAATGTTTTAAATCTGTCAAATCTCTATTCCACTATGATAATCAAGACCACATATTTGCATTTCATTTGCCATCCAAGAGGGGAACAGTTGGGTCTATGTCTTGGAAGTCAGCATTCAATTACTTTATCAGGAAAAATTCGGAAGTCATGCTTCTTACATATGGTATATTTTTATTAGCACGTATGTATCCATGGGTGGGTTGGCTTACAAAGTAAACTATTTGCCCACTGGGACTCTTACATGTGGGGTATATTTCTTTGAGGGCCTACAATCCTCTTTGGTTATATTCCTGCTGGATTCCCTTCCCTACTCCATACAGTCTTGTCCTGAATGTAATTATGTGAGTCGTGCCAAAAACATCCTGCCCACCTAAGTCCCAGTCTTTTCTGGACTGAGATAAAAAAGCTGGCCTCACTTGACTATAATTGAGCAGGGTGTGTGAGGATTGAAGCCTCCTTTTCCTGGCATCCTGCTTCCCCAGATTCCAAGGCAAATGGCACCAGAACTTAGGGCCTCAATATGAGGAACTGAAATAGGAAACATGGACAGTTTTGTCATGGATCTCTGGACCTGTGCCAGCACGGAGCATTCCTAACAATCTCCCTTTGTTAAGAAAAGGAAGACACCTCAACTGAAATGAACTGGAAGGCTGACCCCTCTCCGCTTTCCCCCAATAGCCCTGGCTTAACCTCCCTGAGAAGGTTTGTACTCTCCTGTAGCTTGATGACTCCTATTTCCCAAGAACGCTTAGGCGTCTGTTAAAAGCAAATGTACAGAGACATGGAAGCATGGAACAGAGTGGGCAGGGGTGAGTAGGTAGGGAAGATTAATGGGGGAATTTATATGAACATTTGCACAGCCCATGGGCATAGACAATAGTGCGGTGAAGGACTGGAAGGGGCAGGTGCATTATATTAACCATTTTTCTTTGCATTTATTTTTCTTTTAAAGAATGAAAACAAAAGGAACATTTTAATCCCTCAATCTCTCAGAGCAACCACCATATACCACATAAGTACACTGGGGGCCTTAAGGTTTTTTTTTTTTTTTAATGATTTTTAATCTTTGGAAAAATAGTGAAGGGATTTGATTCCTTTCATTCATATCTCTAATGGATTAAAAGTATTATGCCCCAAGTTTGCATAAAAATTTTTCTCTTACTGCCAGAAATAAAAGAAACAAAGAACCTCAATAAAGAAGATAAAACATAGTGTAGCTAAGAGACAAACTTGCAAACTCTGTTTTGAGTGATTAAAATTACGTTGAATAGAAACTTTAAAAGGCAATATTTTTAGGAAAGGATCTTGAGTGATGACTTGTGCCACAATAAGTCTGAAAGAGATCGTAGGTCATGTGCTAAAAGCATAGAGCTCTATTTACTTGGGAGTGGAGGCCATTACATTAAATGGGAATCTTAAAAAATGTGAAAGCATTTGTTCCAGAAAATGTGAAAGCATTTGTTCCAGAACTTTCCATATAATCAGCATATGTTTGCTTCCTTCCCTTTCAAAATAGCACTGAATTATCTAGTTCCATTTCACCTTTATGGATGGGATCCTCACTGCGTTGAGGTTGTCAGTGTGCCAACCTTTAGAGGCTGGGACCTGAAGCTCCTAGACTGATCATGACAGTCTGTTCCCAGTTTTCCAGCCTTCCTTGTAGCTATCACTGGCCATTGGACCAACCTGGGCCAAGAGGGAGGTTTTGCTTTCCTCCTAATAGAGAAGGGACACAGCTAGCAACATGATAGTTTCTTTTGTTTTTGTTTGGTAGGCAAAAGAATGCTTCCTTGATAAGTTCTGTAACGAGATAAAATGAGTGGTATTTAGAAATATTTTTTGTTTGTTTGTTTTTTAAAGAGTCTAAAGAAATGTTTTTCAAATTGTGGTCTTGACCCATCTGTATTCAAGACACCTGGTTGCTATCCCTGGGTTGAAGCCAGGAATATGCATTTTAAATATGTGCCTCATGCCATTCTTATGTACCCTAAAGTTTGATATCTGGTGGGGGGGAAAAAGCTGAGATGGATAGTTCTTTTGAATATGTTTGTTTAAAAAGTTATAATATGTTTCTATCTCTTGATGGAAGGAGCTGTGAAATCACATTGCAAAAAGTAGGAGGGAGATATTTTGTCATTGTTGTACTTTATTTCAGGTGATGGGCTTGATGGTCCTCCTCATTCATTTACTACTATCCTGAAGTTTTGCCTTTTCCAAGACACAGAGCTTCTCAAAAGAAAAAGCCAAATATATGGGATCAGAAATTAGTAACAGAGGATCATATTAGGGGTTCTGCCAGAAACTGAACCATGCCTGGAGCTTAATGATCCGTAAGTTTGTAAAGTCTTTACTAGAGTTTCAAACATTATTTTTTCCTACCTTGTATTTGCCAGGCTCGAAGAGTAGAATAATATCAATTTTCTTACCACATAATGAGGACAAACTGCTATAACAAAAACCTCAAATTCTTAATGACAATACAAAAATAATCTATTTCTTGCATTTATCAGTCTGCAGGTAGTTGTAGGTCATATTTCATTTTTTTTTTTTTTTTGACACGGCTACTTTCAATCTGTGGCATTCTCAGTCACTTTGGAAGAGAGAGCAGGGCTGACCATGCGAAGGTGCCTGAAAGTGGTCTTTATTGATTACTAGCCACATGCCATTGGCCAGGATGGTCATATAACTCCAAACTAATTGCAAGGAAGTCTTGGAAACATAGTTTCCCTGAATTCTTAGGACATGTTAAAGAGATTAATGTGCATTTAGCTAGTGTCTAAAGAAAATTTCTTGATTATCTTTCCAAAATTTTAGATGTATTATGAGGGTTCATATGAGAAAACATAAAATAATAACTGAATAAGAAAATGAGGACAATGAGAAAATGAGTCAGAGATATCTCGTAC